TTTGATGACAGCTGCTTGACTATTACCCAGGGAAACATCAAACATCTGAGTGAATGTCTGATTATGATTCTAGAGAAATCCTGTAAGTTATGCCGCTCCATTACCTACTCGCTCATTCAATCATATGAATAATGCAATCCATCAGAGTGAAAAAAACGGAGTCAAAGTGTTTGTTTCTTGGAAGAGTTGGGTAAAATAATTAGTAATTTTTTACGACTAAGAATTTTCTAATTTTAAGCAAATATTTCATGATTATTGAGAATATTTCAAGGACTACTGGCAACATTTTCATGTACAGATGAAAATTGATTCTGAATGTGTATAGCAAGTAAAAATCTTACACTCACTGTTTTAAATATGTACTTTTGGAGCTTGTTGCTCCGTTATAGCTCTTTCTCATAAAAGTAAAGTGAAGAAAAATATCAGAGCCACTTAAAGATTCAGCAAACTTAAATTGGAAGTGCATTACCTTTCATAGTACATTTGTGAAGCTCAGGTGAAATTTAGACTTTATCTGTGATATCTGTATTTGGTATTACCAAAATGTTCCATTATTTATCAATATTTAAAAAAAAAAAAAAAACTCCCGTGAAATTTTACTATCGCTATTCTTTTCTTCTCATTACCTGTGTTCAACCCGGCTGATAGTCTATATTCCATACAATGTTTTTCTTCTTCTGAGTTTCACCCACATATGTAACTGTCTAATCAACATTTGCATTTTTTCTGAAGAATTTGCTTTAGTGCTCCTCTCCTTTCTGCCTGCTAAACTTGCGGATTTACTAGGAGTCCCCGTCTCGGGGAATGGTATCATAATTTGCATGATAATGAAAGTCAGTGACCAGAAAATAGTTCTCTCTTTCCCAAATTCTGTGTGTGACCGTCACTTTCTAATCTACCCCAACTAAAGCACGTGCACCAAATCAGTCTGTCACATTCCCATAAATGATTGTATTCACTTTAAGGAGTGGACAACTGTAATAATTACCAAACTAGTCTCCTAGAATTGAATATTTATCCCATCAAATCCATACTCACAATTTTCATATATTTATACAATAAAAATATTCTACTATTTGCTTCATTTACTCATTTTTGTCTATAGAAGGAAAACAAAATATCCAGCCACTTAAATATTGCCTGAGAAGACATCAAGTTCTGCCTTTACTGGCTTTCCAGCATCGTCTCTTACTGAAGTTCTCCTCAGATATCACCATTAAGTATTAAAAATCTTATCTTTGCAGTCCTTAAAATTTGATTTTGCTAAAAATGGTCTCTCTTTTTGAAATGCTCTTCCGCCATACAATTGCCCCCTTATACCTACCATCACTACAGTCTGCACACTGCGTTTTGTCTACAGATAAAATCTACTCATCTTTCAAGAGTTAATCCATATAACCTTCTCTGTGAAGTTTTTTATGGATTCCAGAGTCATAGTTTACCACTCTTTCCTTTTTCTGCAACTGAACCTTTTGTTTACTTCTATATAGACTCCAGGATCTTAATATTGCATTGAGTTTGCGTGTCAGTTTCTTTCTAATAGATGGAAAGCTCACTGGGGTTTTGCATCGTGCCTAATTTAGTTCTACATGCACACTGTTCAAAACAAGGCCTTCAGAAAATCGTCATCCAATGAGTGAATGAATCATAAAGCAACAAAACAAAATGAAATGTGTATAGCACTTGACTATAAACAAAAAACCTTCATATTGCATTCCAAGAAATGAGAAAGAAATAAAACATAAAATACAGTAGAAATCAAGATTCCAGTTTTACATCTAAAAACTCCAAAATATTTATTTTCCCAGTGTCACATCATGAGAAAGGGAGTGGAAATTTGGATGCAGGTCTGCTGATGAAATGGCTTCATTTCAGCTTTTGAAACACAAAGTGTTATTTAAGTATACTGATAATTTGGAAAATCTATACAGTTAGGATTACATAAGAATTTGGGTTGTGTTTTGCCTCTGTCTTTAAAACAAATGAGATCCTTGGGGCTGGCCAGGTGGTGTAATGGTTAAGTTTGTGTATACCACTTCAGCAGCATAGGTTTCAGGGATTCAGATCCCAGGTGTGTATATACACAGTGCTCATCAAGCCATCCTATGGTGGCATCTCATTCAAAATAGAGGAAGATTGGCTTGGATGTTAGCTCAGCAACAGTCTTCTTCAAGCAAAAGGAGGAAGATTGGCAACAGATGTTAGCTCAGGACAATCTTCGTTACCAAAAAAAAAAAATGACTTTAAGTAAATAAATAAAGAAAGAAAAGATATGAGATCCTAGGAAGTCATTTACCTTCTTTGGAATTCAGTTTTCTGAGAGTAGGACTCAGTGCCTTCTAACGTTATATTTAACTCTCAAACCCTATGAAACGTTATTTTCTGGTTTGAGGGTTATAAAGTTTTGATAATAATCAAAATGACTTTATACTTTTCTTTGTAATGTAATTGACAACTAAGATGTAACAGTGAAATGCAAGCTTTGATCAGGAATTTCTTGGAAATCTTTCTTCCTGCATGATCAACTTTTTTTTTTTTAATAATTCTCCACATAAGTGCCTAGTGACTTTATTCAGTCTGTCGGATAATCACAATACTTCAAACTCCATTTTTCCACAGAAGTGATTGTTTTTAATTAAAAAATGGTTTACTTATACTTGGGAGAAAATGTTAACGTATGTGAAGTGTGAAAACAAAGCTTATGCTTCGTCCTGGTGCCATTATGATGAGAGGTGTGTTTTATCACACAGATGGGGGGAAATAGAGACACAGACAAACATGTGTGCACATAAACACATACCTACTTTGCACCCTGAAAAAAAAAAAAAACTTGAGTAGTCTGTCCAACTGGTCCAGCTATAGTTTTCAAAAGTAAGGAAGTCTTAATCGTTTTCTGCAAGTTACTCAATAACAAGAAAACAACACATTATCTTTTTTTTGTACAGTGCTATCTGAAGAGAGAAAGTTGGTAGCTAGAATTCAAGGACACATTCATGAGAAGGACTCTCAGGGACTTATCCTTTTAAATGTATAGATATTCCTTTTTTTTGTTTCTCTGTAGTAAGATTTGTCTATGCTCTCAGTTACAATTGCTGTTTTTCAGAACAAAATTCTCTATTTCAGCTTGTCTGGGCTGTTTTGTTTCATGCATCAGAGATCTCTTATTTCTCTGAGGATGTTAATTGATTTTTAATTTGTTTTATCTTTTCTTCTGCTATTTTTGTTTGTTTGTTTTACCCGAAGTCCTTTAAAAATTTTTTTTCTTATTTTTGGCTCTGTCCTTCGTGATAGATTCTCTTCAGATATCTGGCAATCTTTTGATGCTTAACCATATTTAAGTGGGAGAAACTGACATGCTAATTGGAAGATGTTGTGTTGGCTTGGCTTGCTGAGCATTCAACAGGAAGGTGTGTAGCTAATTGGAGGCAGGGAGGTCTATGGTCAGCACATGCAGGCCTTTTCTCTTGTGACCTGTCTTAAAAGACACTCTTGTAAAAAAGAATACATTGTTTTACATCACAATACATAGCCACTTTAAAGAGCTGATAGTTCCGTCAAACAAAGGGCCTTGGGGGGATTCAGATGGATGCCAAAACCCAAGAGCCCTAGGAAATTCTTTTGGGCAAAGAGCTGCCGCTTTGTATCATGTGATCCCAGTGACCTAGACCAAGCTTATTGGAACTTTCAAATTTAATCAGCTATAAGCTGGCTTTCTATTACTTTTAAGGTAATAGAAATTGAAATCTACTTTATCTGGATGAAAATTATCTTAATCACCAATATCCACTTTATAAAGGGTTTGAAGGTGTGACAAATTAAGGGGAGCCAGATAATAAAGGGACAAAAAGCAAAAATATATAATAATTTTGTAGAAGCCATGAGGCTCTAGAAAATACATGATTAATAATAGTGTAGTATTACTGCATGGTTATTATATGCTGGGCAGTCTTCTAACTTATATACGTGAATTTCTTCCATTAATCCTGCTAAAAAGGAAACAACAGGTCCAAAACGGAGTCACTTGTTCTAAGTTCTACATCAGCAAACTGTGTAATTGCAGTTTGAGCCTCTCCCAGAAACGTGACCTTTAATGAGTTGATCTGGAGTTACCTGGTCAGCACAAGTGATGTAATCTGCCTTATAGACCCCTGCCTTCCCCCAAAGGAAGGTGACCTTGCTTGAAACAATCCATTTTTTGCTAGAAACTTCCTTTCTCCACACCCTTCTGCCTATAAAAGCCTTTCATTTTGTATAGCTTCTTGGAGCTCCTTTCTATATGCTAAGATGGGATGCTGCCTGATTCATGAATCATTAAATAAACCAATTAGATCTTCAAATTTACTCAGTTGAATTCTGCTTTTTAGCAATCCTCACCCTGCTGTCTCTCCGCCCTAAGGCTGACTGTACAGGCTATACTATTGAGCTCCTTAGCCCTCTAGTTTTGAGTTGAGTTCAGTTATGAGAACAGAGAGAGAGGAGATCTCAGGATTTACTCTGCTGACTCTCTCCCTACAGGATCTTCTCTAGCTGCCTGCTTTCCTTAGCCAAAAGCCACAGCTCTTTTTGAGTCATCCCTCTCCACATAATTGTTTCCCTCCTTCAGGAAGCTGATGGCCCTTTCCTTGCCTTTCAGGCCTAGGATGGGTGACAGCTTCCACTGTTCCCTGGGCGTTCCTTGCACACTCCTCATCTTTTTCGATAGTCCTTTTATTAAATCTTCCTTTAATTATCCTAAAGTACCTATCATCTATCTTCTACTGGGAACACTCAGTCTACTGACTCATAGCCCTATCTCTGAGCAAAACATGAGTATAATAAAGTATGGTATAGTATAGTAAATATTCTTTACTGCTGAAAAAGAGTAATGATAAATAATAGCTAACTTTTACTGAACACTTATTTAGTAGATGCCAGAAAATAATCTGAACATTTTTATGTATTAAATCACTAATTTCTCATAAATTAATGTGGTGTCTATTATTGTTGTCTCCATTTTGTAGATGAGGAATCTGTGGGACTTGGCCAAGGTCACATACCTAATACATGGTAACGTGGAGATGGAACCCAAGGATGGTTGATTCCAGCCTGTACTCTTGACAGGTACTCCAATGGCACTTGTTAATAGGAAACAGTTAACAGGAGAGAGAAGGCTTCTACTAGAGGTGGCTCTACCTGTCATATCATCCATAGCTTAAGTCCAATGTTGCCAGAACTGGTTTTTGTAAAGAAGTTGGATATATAGATTTTTTTATATAACCCCTGTTCATTTTTAAGTTTAGACTTAAGCTCTTACTAAAAACAAAAAATGGAAGACAAACCAAAAAACCCACTTTTTGTGGGCCAAACAAAAGTTTATACTCCCCAAAAATGGTCCACTGAGAGGCCAGCCTGGTGGCACAGTGATTGAGTTCACATGTTCTTCTCTGGCAGACTGGGGTTTGCTGGTTTGGATCCCAGCTGCGGACCTAGGCACCACTTGTCAAGCCACGCTGTGGCAGGCGTCCCACATATAAAGTAGAGGAGGATGGGCACGGATGTTAGCTCACGGCCAGTCTTCCTCATCAAGAATAGAGGAGGATTGGCAGCAGATGTTAGCTCAGGGCTGATCTTCCTCAGAAAAAAAAAAAAAAAATGATCCATTGGATAGCATTTTATGGCCTTTCAAAAACTAAGATAAATATCCAATTAACATGTAACATTACATTCCTGTGCTTTTTTCATTAATAGATTAATCTTGAAGTAAATTTCAAGAAAACTGTCTTCAAAATAGTTTCTGTAGAAGCATTTCCTAAATTGAAGGTTTTCCCATTCTTTACTTATCTGTTTAAGACACAGCTCATTGACACCTTGACAGCACAGTCTTGTATTTTCTATGCAGTGGTCTTAGAGTAATCCTGGGGGATTGTATTCTACACATGGAAAAACTTTTCTTGATCCCCTGCTTGTATTAAATTTCTTGGGAATGAAGTTTTGTATAATTGTAAAATATTGCCTTTAGAGTTGAATAGATCTGATTGTAGAGACCAGCTCCCAACCTACTAACTATTGACTTGGGAGATCAGTTTCCTCATCTCTAAAGATTGTAATGACAATGTCTAATTTGTAGGTTTGCTGAATATTAAATAAGATTATATGTACACAGCACTAGCACATAATGAAAGCTCTAGAGTGCAATATCTTGGTTAGAATCCTGAACCAAACCTTAATTAGCTGTTTTGTTTGTATAAGTTACCTAACCTCCGTATCCCCCACCCACCTCCCTCATCACCAGTGGTTCTCAAACTTGAATGTACGTTAGAATAGCCTGGTTGTTAAAGTACAGATTCTTGTGCCTCATTCCCAGAGGTTATGATTCAGTAGGTCTGTGTAGGTCCCAAGAATTTGCATTTCCAACATTCTCCCAAGTGATGTTGATGCTGTTGGTTTGGGGATCATGCTTTCAGAAACACTGCTTTATGCATGCTGTTAATAAGCCGACATTTTTCATAGGAGTGTTAATGAGCCTTAAAAGATGCAATAGCTGTAAAACATTGATCTCCAACTGCCTAAGAATGTAAAGTTCAAGGAAGGGTAGCTAGTTGATATCATTATCCTTATTACTCTAAACTATTTCTTTCCCAATTTTCTTTCAAAAATGTAGTCAAGAATTTGTCTATAGAATTTCTCTCAGTATCATGATTTCTTCTTCTTTGAAATGAAGATTTTTTTCCATTCATAAGAATGACACTTTTTCATAAAAGAGGAGTAATACTTCTTCATAAAAGATGGGTGATTTGAATATTAAGACCCCAGCATCATCCAAAAATGTATGTATATAAGTATAGCAGTTGACTATTGCTGCAATAATGCTGTGTAACTGAGAGGCTTAAAGTAATACAGATATATATATATATATATTTTAAAGATTTTATTTTTTTTCCTTTTTCTCCCCAAAGCCCCCCAGTACATAGTTGTATTTTCTTCATTGTGGGTCGTTCTTGTTGTGGCATGTGGGATGCTGCCTCAGCATGGTTTGATGAGCAGTGCCACGTGGGATGCTGCCTCAGCATGGTTTGATGAGCAGTGCCACGTCCGTGCCCAGGATTCGAACCAATGAAACACTGGGCCACCTGCAGTGGAGCTCGAGAACTTAACCACTGGGCCACGGCGCCAGCCCCCAGATATATTTTTATTGCTCTTTTTTCTGAGAGTCATCAGAATCAGCTCTGTCTTAGGGTGAAGCGTGACCCAACTGGGTTGGCTTCAGGCTTTAGGTCAGGGTCTGGTCCATCCCACTGATCCATTCTGAAGCCCAGACTGAAGCAACAACAGCTACAGGGAACGTACTTCTTTTGTGGTACTTACAGGGACACGAGAGGAAAGCCAAAGCACCTAAGCACATATAAGTACCTTGTTCGTGTCACATCCACTAATATTCCGTTGGCCAAAGCAAGTCCTTTGTCCATACTCAACATTAACAGTGTCAGGGGTACTTTCAATCACTCTAATGGGACATGCAACAAAGCCACCTGGCAAAAAAGATTTGCATACAGGTAGAAAGCAAGGAATTAAGAACAATGATACCAAAAGGAAGACTATTTAGAATATTCCAGACAAGAATACTCTGGAGAGATGCATGTTTTCACATATTGATATCACTTCCTTTCAGAAATAAAATCTTCAGATTTTTTTCTGGGGAATGACTGTGGGAAAGTGTGGAAAGTACAGTGCACGTTGGTAACACAAAGGGAGGCTGCCTTCAATTGAAAAGTAATAACATTTTACCTGTTTCTAGCTACTCTTTATAAGACTGGAGGTCTCCTTCAACTGATTATGATGATGACGATCTAAAATAAGAATTCACATAAATAAAAGAGGAAAACTATTGTTAGTAATAAGAATTTCGGCTCTTTAAAAGACACTGTTAAGAGACTCAAAAGACAAGCCTCAAACCAGGAGAAAATATTTACAAATCACACATCTAACAGAGGACTAGAATCTGGCATACAGAAAGAACTCTTAGAACTCAACAATTGGAAAACAAACAACAGAATGTAAAAAATAGTCAAAACTTTAAATAGGCACTTTACTAAAAAATTATAGATGACAAAGACACTTTTAGTCATTAGAGTCATGAAAATTAAATCCATAATGAAATATCACAGCACACCTATTACAGTGTCTAAAAGGGAAACATCCAGTCATGGTTGGTGAGGATTTGGAGCAATTGTTACCCTTGTACACTGCTACTGGGAATGAAAATGGGACAACCACTTTAGAAAACAATTGGGCAGTTTCTTAAAATGTTATTCCTATGCCTTTTATATTTCCCAACCATTCCTCTTCTAAGACATATGAAAGTAAATTTTCGTACAAAAATTTGCACATATATGTTCATAGTCATTTTGTATGTAATAGCTAAAAACTGGGAACAATCCAAGTATTTATCACAGTAAACTGATGAAAAAATTGTGGTGCGTTCATACAATGGAATGCTACTCAGCAATAAAAATGAATTAATTTGTGATACATGTAACAAAATGAATAAATCTCAAAATAATTATTATGAGTGAAAGATGTCAAACCCAAAAAAAGTTAATACTATATGGTTATATTTATGTAAAATTCCATAAAATACAAGTTAATATATAGTGACAGAAGGCAGATCAGAGGTTGCCAGGGGCTAGAAGAGGTCTGGGAAATATGTGAGTAAGGGATTAGCAAGGGTCAAGAGGAAACTTTTGGGTGTGTTGTGTGTCTTCATTCTCATGATTGTCTTGGTAATTTCACAGGTATGTACATATGTCAGAACTTATCAAATTATAGAATTAAATATATACTGTTTATTGTATGCCAATTATACATGAATAAGGCTGTTAATTTTTTTTTAATAAAATAAAAGGAAAATAAAATCAGTGGGCATGATTCTTGCTAATTCTGACTTACTGGTTTTAAAATTCATTCAGTGGTATTACAGTATGAACACCATTTAACCGATAATAAGTTTTATTCTTTGTGGTCTATACTTGTCTCATGAGAATATATTGTCGGATTTTTTTCTCTTCAAACATAAAGGGCAAACTGAGCTAACTACTGCCAGTCCTCTTTTTGCTGAGGAAGCCTGGCCCTGAGCTAGCATCCATGCCCATCTTCCTCTACTTTATATGTGGGCCGCTGAGAAGCAGAGCGTGTGAAAACCGCTGCACCACCGGGCCGGCCCCAAAGTATTACCTTTTCTTTCTACATATACCTGCTGAACTTGTGGTTAATACTTTTTGATGAGTCAAATAAGAAAAGAGGTTTTTTCCAATGAACATACAAATTTATAATATGTTTTTGTATTACCATTATTATATTGTAAGAATTATTAAAACTCTTTGAACTAGTCAGTAGTTAATGATAATCAATAGAAAGCAGAAAGAATGACATTCTGTCTTTAATCAATTTACCGTAAAAATAGTTTTCATAGCACAAATAGGAAAGTCTTGCTTGTTTACTTCCATTACATTCCAAAAGAGTACTAGCAGATAAATAAATCTTGAGGGGAAATAAAAATGTCATGCCAAGAGCATGTAGATGTAGAGAAAAGTAATAATTATATTCAAAAATGTATCTTGTTGAGGCAGATTATTATATTAAACATGATATACCCCAGTAATCCAGAAAACAAACAACTAAAAATATAGAATTATTGGTTTGTCCCATAGCATTTTGTATCTTACTTTAAATTTTCTTCAGAAATGTACATATATAATCAAACTCCAAGCTGTGTCCAAGAGTCAATAACAATCCGTTTTATTAGCTTCACCTTCTACTCCTAAATTTTATACAGCTATAATTATTTGTTGATTAATTTGAATCAATGACATACTTTAAGTAATGTCTCAACACTTGTTTGTTCTTAAGAGAGCCAGAATTATACAGCTAGGAAGAGCCTTAGAGTTATAATTCTGATGGCAAGTGCATTTTATTTTATTCTAGTTCTTTGAACACTGTTAATCCATGTATGATATATTTGACAAATGTCAATTAACAAGAATGTTCAATTAACCAAAAGACCCAATTTTCTGATTATTTTTGGATAAATGGGTACTTACTAAAATTTCTATAATAATTTCTGT